TTCCCTTCATTTCCTCATTTTTCCTTCCCACACAAGATAAGAGAGAGAGTAGGGGTGGTTGGTTGAACTCTCCTCATTTTTTTCCTTCCCCCATCATCAAAAGAGAGAGAAAATGCTCTCAAAATAAGAAAGAGAAAAACACAATTTTTTCACATTTTTCTTCATTTTTCATACAAGAAAACCGATTACTTTTCAATGGTTGATCGTCCGATTTTCGACATCAACAATATGCAAGAGAGTAGTTACTAACTCACAATTTCTTTTAAAATTAAAAGAGAGTTATCCACATATAAAAATGAGACATGACCACTGACCGATCCGCAAGGGCGGAGCCACTCAAATGAGTGCCTGAGCTATATCGCCTAGGTGGCCTCTACAGTCTATGATTTTATATAATATTTATATGTATTTTTTTAGTTTAGCCCGTTAGAGTAATTACTTGACTTATTCTACCACAATTTAGTCAATTTTTCATTTATACGGTTTATGAGCTTATTAGCAAGTTAAGAATGTGATTAGGGGGAGTAAATAGTTATCTTAACATAAAAATTTGGTAAGTTAATGATTAATGAGTATTTATTTAATGATAAATATAATAAGTGTTTAAGTCTTCCTGAGCATCATATACTTTCGCAAATTTAATGAATCGGGTTGGCCCGGAACTCACTGTTCATGAACCAGCTCGGAAACGCCGGTTCACTGAACAATCCCGTATATATTTTTGGGCTGGTTCAGGGCCTTCAAAACCGCGACCCGAAATCGGCTCGAAACCCCCATTTGACCACCTCTACTGGAATGTATAGTAATTGATAAATTTATTTTACACATGCAATATTTATAATTTGATATTATTTATATTAAAAGTTAAAAAAAAAAAAACCGAAAACTCTAATTGAGTTGATCCCGAACACGAATGATTCGGTTTGTTTGATAGACAATCTCAATTTGTTGTTCAAACTTGACTCATTTAAATATGCAATCAAGTTGAGCTCGAGCTTTCACAAGTCAAATCGAACTATATCAGCAAACAATTCGATTCGAATAACAGAATCTCTTGAGAAAACTTTCTTGGTTGTTGTGGACATGTATGCCTTTCGGACAGATGAAATTGCGGAGATGACTGCCGTGGCACACATGTCATGTGCTACACTCGTGCTTCCCATGAGTTAGTCAAGAGAAATTTTTGAGAAAGACCTAAATACGAAATACTCTAGTATTCAAAGCATGTTTTGATTACTCTAGATAGATTCCTATGTTCTTTATCTGGATCTTCCTAAGAGTATCAGTCCCGCCTTGAATCACTTGCTTTAATTTTGAGCTGTTGATAAATCAATTTGGTTATAGAATAGGGATAAAAAAAAACAAAAACAGCTTAATTTATATTTATTGTTGCGCAATTATAACTTTATAAGTATAAAGCTGTCCATCTATGATATCTCATATATGTAGTTTGTAATTTCTATTTATTGTAAAATTCAGAAAATAAACTAAAGAAGAAAGAGGGTAATAATTGACAGATTCTTTACATGTATTGTTGTGAAGAACTTCTCAAGGTTGCGTTGTCTCGTGAAAAGAATATAAAGTTAGAAATCCCACATCGAAATCTGTCATAAGACTGTTACAACGTAGGACTATAAAATGCCGGCCGAAACTCTGAATTAAGCATACCTTTCTCGGCCTTTTGGCTAAGATCTAGTGTAGTATCTGTTCTTATCAATTTAATATCTGATACGTGGGCCATCGGCCCACTCGATATTAAATTAATTTTTTAGGGGGGAAGGCCCGTCAGGTAGCTTGCTGCTTGGGCCTTTGAGCGTCGCCTTTGCGTTGCACTACAACATAGGCCTGGCGCACCCCACCAACTCCAAGTTAAAACTTTTATGGGATTTTATGTTTATATACACGTTCGCAGTCCAACTTATTGGCGTCTGCGCTCCAAGCCACAAATTAAATAAATTTATTTTTAAACGCTAGAGTAATTGTGATAAAGATTAAATAAAATTTAAGGGAGCCTTTTTCAGCTGAGTATTTGTGACAAGATTATAAAGTTTAGGGGAGACTAAAAGCCCGATTAATTGAATTAAAAAAATGAGTTTCGAATTTGGCTTCATTTATTTGAAATTAATAAAAACTAAGGAATTCAAAGGAGCTGAACTAGAGATTCTTAATGAAGTGAGAACTCGAACTTAACTTTCAAGCTCTTGATATTTGAGCTGAGTTGTTAATTAACTAATAAAAGAGTTTGAATTTGGCTCGTTTATGTTGTTAACTAATTGAGCTAGTTCGATTTCTCGTTTATCAAAATAAACGAGTTGAACTCAATCTTTAATAAGATGGAACTCAAACTTTAACGAGTCGAGTAAAGAGTAATAATAATTTAGAAATTTACATTAATGAGCCTTAATGAGCTTTAGCTAAACTCGACCCTCAGCAAAACCAAGTGGAACCAAGTCAAGTTCACAAGCGGGTTGGTTTGTTTGGGAGCTCTAAATTTGAAACAACAGTGTGAATGGCAATTTGTAGTGCAATAAGTTGTACACTAGAGTCGTTGGACTTGTTACTGAAAGTTAGGGGCGGATCTCGAAAAATATATTGAGGGGGCAATATTACTTTCAATAATGTCATATATTTAATATAAGAACAACAAACGCATACGTTCCAAATTATGATACAACTAGGATTACTTAGTTTTTTTTAAGTCATGAAAGCTATAGATATTGAACCGTTAAACTTTGAAAATAAAAAAATAAAACAAAAGAAAATTAGGCCCTCATTCTCTCAATAAATATTATATTTTTCTCAACCACAAGAAAACACATATTTAGAGTGTTTTGTTTATCAAATTACTTCTCATATACCATAGAATATAAATAAAAAACTAAATAATATAAAAGACTATATAGAGAACATATAAGAATTATAGATAAAAGTAAAGAGTAAAGTTATTTTTTGTTTTTCTTTTTATTGAGAGCAAAAATAAGTTCAATAGCAACATATATACATATCCTTGGAGAAATCTTGGGGAGGACAATGGCCTTCCCCAATGTTAATGTTAATGTGGATCCGTCCCTGCTGAAAGCAAGGTTCTGGGACTAGGTAGAGTCGTCAGTCGAGATGAAAACATATCGCTTGACGAGCCGAAAAATAATTGGAACCAAGGAGATTGGAAAAATAACCATATGAGATTTGAGAGGTTTTACAAGATTATATGCGCCCCTGCTTTAAAAACAGTACACAGTTGATAAGGCATTTTTTAAGGAGCAGGATGTATATACGATGTCCAATTCTATTTAGAATATTTCATTTCATAGTACCAACCACATTATATGACTATAAACAACATCACTCAACAGGGCCACAGCTCATTCAATTACACTATAGGAATGATGGTTGAATTGCGCCATGAGACGACGAATGCTCTGTCTCAACATAAGGCGAAAATGAAGACTCCACTTTTTATGACGAGCAAAAACAAAAAAAAAAAAAAATTATGACGAGCAGAGGAGTAAACATGACCAGCTTAGGAGGAATCTGTATCGATCCGAAACTCCCTTCTAATATCTCCAAAATCGTTTTTCGAGCAGTATTGTCTTCACGAATTGTAATACTATCCATTCTCATCCTAGTAACACCATCTATTACATGCTTGTAAACTTTGTCGGAAAAAAAATTCTCTCTCGACTGGGTCATATCGGATTGATCGATTTTCTCCGACCATCCCAAGAACCATCATCCCGTAGCTATAAACATCCGACTTATATGAAACTTCTCTCGAAAATTTGAGCGGTGGGACGTTGAACCCAACTACCAGGGATGTATTGAAATAATCATGTCCATTAAATTGGCCTGACGTATATTTGACCAGGACCGTAAGGCCCGAACCTGTGAACAAGCTGTTAGTTCGGGCCCACACTCAGCCCCGACGTGTGTTGTTTGGAACGTTCAAGGCCAAACTCTGACCAGTGTGTAAGGACAGTTGTTGCTCACATTATGAACATGCTACAAAATATTATTATTTTATATATATATATATTTTTTTTTTGCAATTATAAGCATATATAATATCTCATTTCTTAATTGATGTTCAATATATATATGTATTGCGTAAGATACAAGGAAAAAGAAAAGAAAAATGAAGAAAGATGGAAGAAAAATAGTTAGAAGTTTGAAGCAAAGCACCCACATCGAAATATTTTACATGACTGATACAACAGAAGGGTATAAGATGTCGGCCCAAAGACAGGATAAAGCATAGAGGAATTTGCACCCTCTACTTCAAGATTCCAAATATATTATAATTATACACTTATTAGGGAAATATATATAATTGTACTAAAATCAACCTAAAATATTGCAGATATACCTAAGAGTAACCGTTTAAATTAATTGGGATAATTAAGGAAGTTGCTGATTTTACGGTGAAGATATTATCTCTCCAAAAAAAAAAGCACCCACCGCCCACGTTCACCATCCCTACAGGTTCTTCTCTCTCCCTCTTCTTCTTCTTCTTCGTCATTTTCTCTTCAAGTTAAAATTTTTTCTCTATTTTTTTTATGATAGAACGAACCCTGAGGCGAAATTTTCCTCCTTCTTCGTTATTTTCTCTTCAAGTTAAAATTTTTTCTCTATTTCTTTTATGATAGATCGAACCCTGAGGCGAAATTTTCCTCCGCCGGGAAGGGCGAGGGATCCCCCACCGCCCCGGGTGTCGATTGGATGGCCGGCCAACGGGATGCCAGTGGCTGATCTGATGGCGTAGAGGTCCGAATGGAAACGGGGCTTCTCTTCTGCCCGGGCTGAGGAGAAAGAAATCGGAGGCGGGTTCGGAGACGTCTATGGCGGCGTAGGATAACGATCGGAGATGGATTTTCCATTCTCTGTATGCGTCATGAATAAGTAGCGAACGAAGCGATTTTGAAGGTTGATGGTGGAGATGGAGGACTCACGAGAAGGGGACGGAGACAGCGGGCTCGTGGATTAGGAGTTTCTGGAGGTTTTTAATGGCGTTACTGATGGGAAGGATCTGCCGATTAGAGTGGAGAAGACGGTACTTGAGTTGGATCCGTGCTCTATCATTTATCGTCCGCCATCGAGGTGAGAAATCGGGAGTCGTCGGCGACTTCAGGCGGCTTGTGGTGGACATCAACAACTTCAGACGGCGTGCACCGAAGATGATGCGCCCATTTTTAAACCTGTTTACCTTTTCTTTGTTTTATTTTTTTTTGTTTTTTTTCTTTAACTCGCGGCACGAGGCAATCGGCAATATATGTTGCTTGTATGTAGTATATGTTCAGTTCATTTGCAATATATGTTCAGTATATGTACAATATATATTTACTATGTACTTTTTTTCTATCTGTTCTAACAAAAAACTTCTTAGAGGATAATTGTCGAACAGTTGGTGTGCTTGATTTGTTGATAGATAGTTATATTATGTACTTGTTGCGGGTATATGTTGTGGTTATATATAGTATATTTTCGGTATATGTATCGATATGAAAATTTGTATATTTCGGGTATGAAAAATTTACACGTTGCGGGTATATACCAAAGTTGCACAACACACATATACATAAAATATACGTACAATATGCATAAAATACACAATTGAGATTCACGTAATTCAAGTTCACGATACCACATATAAATAAAATACACTTTAAATATACAATCGAGTTTCAATCGTTTCTCGAAATCGATTTCAAAACCCACATATACATAAAATATACCTAAGATCTACACTCGAGATATTTTCACGAGCAGATCGTTTCTCACGGGCAGAACCCACATATACATAAATGTACCTAAGATATACCAAAAATATACCTCAAATATACAGTCGTTTTTCACGAGCAGACAAGAAAGTCTCAGGCTTCGCTTGACTTCCGAGGGCTTGTGGTCGGAAAAACCGTGTCTTGGAACATGGCCACTATCGCACACGAAGCAAGCGCGCCTATCTTGGCTGAGGGCTGCAGCCAGAGTGTGCCTGCCTCGTCGTGAATGGCCTGGTGCTCTTGGTACTCACCGGAATTTGGTGCATCTCGGGTGTCCTCGAATCTCCTCGCCTGAAATTGGGTTTTTTGGTGCTCGTGGATCGCCGGCTCGCACGACTTGCTCGTTGCCGAAAAATTGGTGGCCTCCTTCTTGTCGAGGAAGATGAAAAATTTTTGGGAACTTTCTGAAGGATTTTTTTTCGAGCGGGACGGGGATCTGTAACTTGTCGAGGAAGATGACAATTTTTTTTTTTTTTTTTCTGGTAGTTCATGGCGGAAATCACGCCACAATCTGTTGGAGAGAGGACGTTACAAAGGTAACAGATATTAAGGCAATCTCATAAATAAATTACCTTCATAAGGTATATCTCCTATTATATGTTCACTGAAGGTAAACTTGAAAATATTTTCATATCGTGTAGTAGGTGTAAAATTTCCCCAAAAGAAAAGAGGAAGAAGAAGTTGAGCAACTTATTAAGTTCGTGACTTTTGAGTCCGACCTTGTTGACCGAGAAGATGGGCCAATTTCGACTTCAACACGTCCATTCAATCAACACTAAGAGCATCTCCAACCGGTCTTCATACCTGCAGGAAACGGCACGGTTGGAGGAAAACCATCTCCATCGGGCTCTCTTCATTTACCGGAAACGCGTCGCTTGATTTTGTGGAACGGTTCCCACGCCGTTCCACTGTTCACTCTCTCCGCTTTATCTTTTTTTTTTTTGTTGAAAAATGTAATTGGGTTATATTTTGGGCCTAAATGATGTATTGTAGTTGGGCTTTTTTTAACTATAATTTAATTAGTTTTATGAGTTCAATTAAAATATTTTTATAAATGTTTTAAATTTAATTATTGTAATTAATATGGTAGAATTTTAAGTAGTGTAATAAATAAATTAAATATTTTTATTAATTAATATGATATAATATTAATTAGTACTTAAATTCACTTAAATAAATATTTCAAACAAACAAGTTAAAATTACAAAATAAGGACAAACATTTAACTCACTTAAAATTAAGGGTACATACACTAAAATTAAAATTACAACATAAAGTTAAACTAAAAAAACTCATACTTAAAGCTCACACATACTACAAGAACGATAAAGCATATGGAACATAAAAACGAAAGAGGACTATAAAATAGACGATTACATAGACTTAATTGTCACCATAATAATCATTCAAATTTCCTCCGTCATGCCCGATGTTGTCAAGAAATCCAAATTCAACCATGTTAGACGATGGTGGTGTTGCTTGAGATTGTTGTTGCTCAAATTCTCTTTCTTGTAAAATTTGCATTTGTTTTTGTTCCAAATGTCGACGTATCATGGGATTCGTAAGGGAATTCAAATCTATCATCAAAATTCTATCTTTGTCCCTCCTTTTTTGCAAATCAAGTTGTTGTTTCTGCAATTGAAGTTGGACACTTTGACGTTCTTCGAATTTCTGCAACAAATCAACAATAGTATCACTTTTAGCATTTAGAGTTTGAAAATATTGGCAAAATTGGTCTTCATTTTTCTTCTTCAATGTTGCTTTCTTCACTCCCATTGGACGTTGAGAGGATGTTCTACCAACACCATCGTCACTTTGTTGAGGACTAAAAGACGACAATCCCGGAGACTCTGGTGTTGGTTGTCCATCATATGGAACGTCGGACTCGGAAGAGTCATTGAGTGTATCGAAATCCCGACAACAAGATCGTGGTTGGGAGAAATTATCATCAAATTTTCCAAACTCTTTGAATAGTCGGAACACATGTTGGAACTTGAAGCCATCTTTATATTTTGGGTCTTGTTCAAACAATATTTCGGCTTGCTCAATCTAGAAACAAAGTAAAAAATATATAATTGTAAGTATACCTATAAAACAAGCAAATAACATGAAAGAGATTGAACTTAAAACAAAATACTCACCCTACAAAAAAGCTGGAAAACCAAGAAAGAACTCGACTGCTGCCATCCAGCTTCTTGCTTAGATCAAGCAAGTTCTTTCGTAGTTTACTTCTCAATCACTCAATTACACCTTTCCTCTCCCTTTGGTCGAACGACAACTCCAATAAAGGATGAAAGGAATGAGCTCTCAGTCAGTCGCTCTCAGTCAAGGTTAGAGAGAGAGAAATTCCCTCCCCCACAAAGTGCTCCAATTCTTGTGTTTAATGTGAAGTTTGGTACTTCTATGACTTCACTTCGCTTCTAAAGATTACATTGACCTGTACCGTTTTTTCTCTTCCTTTATGACTGAACTTCGCTTCGCTTCTAAGTTGGGGCGAATAACAGGCTCAGGTCTCAAGGTCGAGTTGTCGGTCAGGTTAGCGGTGGCAATTTGCCCTCTACAGGAGTTCTAAAAAAGAAGGGCAGAGGTTCGACTTTTTTATTGAAGATTTTTTTCCATGGGTTGGATTGGGAACTCGTAAACTCAATAACTCATATTAATTATCTTGGATTTGTGTCCCACTAGGATTGCGATATTCGATTTGCTTCAAGCATCCATTAAACCTCTGACAATGAGTTTCCATGAGACGGTAACGAGAGTCAAGAGACCTTATAGAGCGTTCTGGTAAATCCTTGTGTTTTTGGGAGTTGTATTCATCATATATTTTTTTCCAAAAGGTTGAAGAACTTTAGTCATTTGATGATATTGGATTCTGTGAAACACTAATGTAGCATCTCACAATTAAGACATCTTCTGTGTTGGAGTATTTTGGCCCTTTTGAAGAAGACATTTTCAAGAAAACAAGATATTCAAGAAGAGTGGGAACAAGAACACTTCAATAATGGAAGAGGAAATAAGATATGTGTGTGGTTTCTTCTTTGAAGTACGATCTATAAATAAAGAAACAAATTCACATGCAAAACAAGTATAGTGACTATAGAAAGGAATCCAAGGCAAAAGAAATCAATGCCAATTAATTGTTTATTCATTTGTCTTCAATAGAAAAGAATCAAATGCTGCAAAGTAATAATGTTCACATGGGCTTGTCCGAAATTATTGCATTTGGCATTGTGTTGGTAACATTTATTCACTTTACATTGTCTTATTCGGAAAGAATCTAATGGTTAGATGTACTATTGGTCATTGTCTAACAATAATGTAGAGTAATAATGTTTCACATGGACTTGTCTGAAATTATTGCATTTGGCATTGTGTTGGTCAAATTTATTCACTTCACATGGTCTTATCCAGAAAGAATCCAATGTTAGATGTACCATTGGTCATTGTCCAACAATAATGTAGAGTAATAACGTTCACATGGCCTTGTCCGAAATTATTGCATTTGGCATTGTGTTGGTCAAATTTGTTCACTTACAAAAAGGAATCCAAGGCAAAAGAAATCAATGCAATTAATTGTTTATTCATTTGTCATCCAATAGAAAAGAATCCAATGCTACAAAGTAATCTAATGCAAAGTAATAATGTAAAGTAATAATGTTCACATGGCCTTCTCCGAAATTATTGCAATTGGCATTGTGTTGGTCAAATTTCTTTTCACATGGCCTTGTCTGAAAAAGAATCTAATGAAGAAAACATGTGTTTCTTTTATTCATTCATTCGTCTATATAAACATGAAACTATACATGATATCATCCAAGCTACATATTACATTCATTATCAAATATTTCTGTAATATTTCCCTCTAATATCATTCACAATGAATTATCTTCCTCCTTATAATTATGATTATGATGAGGAAGATGCAAATGTTTCATTACCTCTTTTTGATAACACTTTGGAATCAACCACCACTCATATATTGCAAACCAACAATTTTTTTATGGCACATGCTCTCTCTGCGCAAAGTAGCCAACCAACTTGGGGAGGTTCTGTTCCGGGACATAGAGTAGTCCATCGTGATCGGGAGGAGGCCCATCGCACTCTGTTTTGAGATTATTTTAGTAGTAATCCAACCTACGATGAAGATACATTTCGTCGAAGGTCTCGGATTTCTATTTATAATTTCAAACGTGTTATGCGGGCATTGGAATATCATGATAGTTTTTTCCAGCAACGTCGGGATGGTCTTGGTCTACTTGGATTGTCAACATATACAAAAGGGACAGCGACGCTTCGTCAGTTAGCCTATAAAACCCCAGCAGATGGTGTCGATGACTATCTTAAGATTGCTGAGTCAACGGCCAATGAATGCGTAAAGAGATTCTGCCGTGGAGTCGTTGAAGTTTTTGGAGCACAATATCTGAGATCACCAAATCACGATGATATCGATAGATTGCTTCATATTGGTGAACAACGTGGTTTTCCAGATATGTTAGGTAGCTTGGACTGCATGCACTGGGAATGGGAGAATTGCCCTAAGGCATGGGCTGGTCAATACAATGGACGTTCCGGAAAGCCAACAATCATTTTGGAAGCTGTGGCAGATTATGATCTATGGATATGACATGTATATTTTGGTATGCCAGGTGCGAATAATAACATTAATGTGCTGGAAGCATCACTTCTAATGTCAAATCTTGCTGAAGGTATCGCTCCACCAGCTAATTACACCTTCAAGGTAAACAGTTTAATATGGGTTATTATTTAGCAGATGGTATATATCCAAAGTGGTCCACTATTGTTCAGTCTTTTGTTGCACCATCAAATCCAATGGAGGAATACTTTAAAATTAGACAAGAGGCATGTAGAAAAGATGTTGAGCGTGCATTTGGAGTTCTGCAAAAAAGGTTTGCAATCGTCGCGGGTCATGTTCGTTTTTGGAAAAAATAAGTGCTTAATGATATAATGAAAGCATGTATTATTTTGCACAATATGAATGTCGAAGAGCAAAGTGATCTTAGTGTGCCAATTAGAAGTGATGTTCAATTTGGTGTTCCTACGATTGCTCCAGCACCGCGAGATCACGTCTTTTTTCAACAATTTCTTGCTCGACACAAACGAATCAAGGATAAGTCTGCCCACTAGAACTTCGTAATGCATTGGTTGCACATTTGTGGGAAAAATATTCTCATGACAATAATTAGTGTTGTATTTTGTTTTACATAGTTCTTATTGTCTTGAATGTTTCATGTTTGTGTTGATGTTTTTTTTTTTAAATTAATGTTTGTGATGTAATCCACATTTGTGGAAAAATTAATGTTATTTTGGTTTTATGGTGCAGTGTGTAATTTTATGATTTTAATTTAAATTTATTAATTAATTTTATTAATCAATAATTAATATATATTCATAGATATGTATATTTTAGCAAGCATAATGTATTAAAATATAATTTGTAGAGATTATTTAATAAACTAATAAAATTAGAAAAGAATATGCTTGGAATATTCTTTTAGAGGGAAATTATAGAGAGAATGGGTTGGAGTTGCTGGCACTGTTGAAACTGTAAAACTAGTGGGATTTTACTGTAATAAATGTATAGATAGAGAAACTGGTTGGAGATGCTCTAAAAACAACAAGTCGTAACTCACGAAATCATCACCATCTCCGGTCTCACACCGACGAGGGCACATGGGGCCGAGCTCATTTTTCCTTTATTTCTTTCTGTTGGGTCTTCAGGCACAAGAAAGAGAAGCTATGAACAGTGACGCCAATGGAGTCGGGGAAAGGAAAAAGACCAAACTTATTTATCCACATCGGACCAATTTATCATTCGCTCGCCGACGAAGCCAGCTCTACCGGGCCGTTTTCCTGTTCGCCCGCCGATGAGCCCGGCTTATTTACTCACGCCCGAGCCGATCATTCATTTGTGATGAGCCCGACTTATTCATTCACGCCGAGGCTGACATATTTATTTTTCCCGTCGTTGATCCCCTGCTCTGGCCGGTCTACATCTACATATAGCCGGCCGACGAGCCCAACTCTACCCGGTCGATTTATCATTTAACCGCAAAAGTCGTTAAACTACAATCCGACGAGCTATTACGAGGTCTTCGAGCCCTACTGAAAAAAAAATAGAGAGAGCTGGAATTTTGCGGTGGACTCGAACTTGCGACCGACCTAAATCGGCTAGCAAAACTCACTTGGGCCACAAATAAAAATCATCGAACTCGAGATGCAAATTACATCCGAATTGGGTTGACACACCGACGATAGCTGGGGCCGAGCTCGCTTATTTGTTATTCGCCCGCCGTTGAACCCTACTCCGGCTGAGTCGGCGTCTATATTTTTCTCGCCGTTGAGCCACTGCTTCAGCTGAGCCGACGTCCATATTTTTCTCGCCGTCGAGCCCCTGCTCCGGCCGAGCTGACGTCTTCATTTCTCTTGCCGTCGAGCCATACTGCTCTAGCCGGCCAAAAAAAATAAAAAAACATAAAGAAAAAAAAAACCTTTGCCAAATCCCTCGTGATTTGGTGCGGCCAATGCCCACACATTCATTGATGTACCATTCATACATACATTCATTGCATACACGCGTCATACATACATCTAGACATCAACAAAAAAGCCAAGCACTTGAAAATGATTGGTTCGACCAATAGTGCCTAAAAATTAACCAAATCCCTATCGTGATTTGGGTCGGCCGAAATGCCCTAAAACTAAAAAGACCCAGCAGGGCCAACCATAAAAACACATATAAAAAGGAGTCGTTGTATATTCATAAGGGCCCAAACGCCCTACATATCAATTGACCAAGCCATTTAGGCTCTTATCAAAAAAACGATTCGCTCAATGAGTATTATATCAAATATCGGGCACCACGTTACCCGACCAAGCAATAACTAAATAAAAATGAGACCAAAGACCGGATACCGAGTTATCCGACTAGATCCACATAACGTAGAAAAAAATCACACGATAACGCAGTCAACATAGAATCGCCAAACCAATCATATCGGCAAACATCTTAGTACAGATCGATAAACAATCCAAGGGGCCCGAGTGCCCACACAATTTCATACCATTACCATTGTCGCGAAAATAAAATCAATCAAACACTTCGTACTGCACGAAACGCCAAACACGGGTACCAAATTACCCGACTAGGCCACTCAGGCCATATTCATATATCAATTCCAAAGAATTGACTATCTACGCCATTGACTCAATTCGTACACGGGTCCAAAAGCACCCAGACAACTTCGATAAAAGCCCTAAGCTGGAAAAAATTATAAGCAAAAATCTGCCAAATTGATAATAAACGCGACTTTAGAACAGTTCTATTCAGAACATGTCCTAAAGTCAGGGGCCTCTCGTTGATACCCAATTTGGCCTCGATTAACAAAAATGTTACACGTGAATATATATTAAATAAATATAAGATAGCGGGTTCTTCGAGCCGATCAATAATATCAACAGTTGTCAAGATCGCCCGCATCATAGCCGAACAGAATTCAATGTCACCAGCCCGACCCGGATATCATAAAAAAGTCGCCCCGATAGACACAATAATTGCCGACAAGATGAATATCAATCGAAGCCGTCAAGCATTATAATTACTGGGCCCTGCGCGGTCACATATGATTGATTACATGTGTATTATGATATTATGTGATAAAGTAATGTGAAGGCCTATTAGATATAAAGGCCCATATATAGGCCCTATATATAAG